GTTTACTTGAAGTCCAATTACCACCGCGGTAGTCCCAGTGAGTCATCGTAGATTCATCCTGGCACTCACCTCGTGAACGTCTAACTCTGCTATCCGGATCGGATCTTGAAGACCACAACAAGCTCAATTTTGCCCAGAAGCACCACTGGACAAGAAGTATCTGGTCATCTGTTAGTAAAATTAGCGGATCTGGATCTTAGAAAAATTTATACGGTCTTGAGGGAATTCTTTTCGTGGGACCTCGCTCAAGCTTTCTAAGGGGCCGACGTTTTAGTTTACCGTTTAACAACATTTAAGGGATTGTTTGTTGCATTTTTTATTATAAACAATCAGAGCATTGTGAAAGGGTGAATAGTTATTGCAATTGGGTGGATGCTTGACGCCACCTTTACTAATTCATAGTGTCATACGATATCGTAATATTCAGGGTTCAATCTTCGAATTTTCTGAAATATCTGATAGTGTTAGATAAGAGTTGAATTCGGGAGGTCACACACGAATCCTTACCCTTAATAGCGTCTGAAACGCACCACTTAATATTGTTCAAAAACTGGAGTGCGACTTCGAGTGAACTACACAATTAAAGCACTTATCCCATAGAAATCAACGTTAGAAGTACTTCCATTCATCACTGACAACGCTGCTTAAATTATAGACACGCTTGCCGCCCGTAGAAAAAACATTTTTTGGTCAGTTATAAGCAGGGAATCATAACTACCAATGGTCCAGGCGTCTAGAATTATAAATGAATTGCGTGCGGGGAGTAGGCATAGTTAGTGGCAACTTTGAATGTGAATATTTAAAGACAGGTTTGGTGTCACTATAAATTTGGAGTGAAGGGCAAAATATGGAGTATTCACGTTTAACAAAATGTACTAAGGTGGTGCGATGCGGACGCACATGCTTCATATCTACTTCAAAATAGAGATACAGCACTGACTGAATTGACTCGGTGTAGGCGCTCTAAGAAATATAAAACCACTCCTACCCCTAGTCGATTCAATCTTGAGTCCTTATCCAAATTAAACAGGTTGATCTGGAGGCACTATTGTGTCGAATAAAGTACTCTCTTGCCGCAACAATTTTCTTACCTCGATCTGATGTGAAAGCTCAATGGCACAAGGGTAAAAAATACGATTTGTTTGCGAGCTCATCGGGTTTTGATTTTATCTGAAAAACAAATCTGGGCAAGTTCTTTCTGGTTTTTAGCAATCACTCTCTTTGGGGTCGACTTCTTCATCCGTGTCGCGGAATGCGCTCATGATGTTCTTAACAAAGATAATCTTTGTATCGGATGACACGCTAATTTAATTAATACGCTTTGAATGTATTAACGCTATCGTGGAGAAGTTTCGTTTCGATGCAGCGCCGGATGTATCCATCAGGAACAGCTTGACTGCTACGGGCTGCAGATTTGGCCATTGAAGACCATCCGTCAGTCAGTATTGCAGTGGCGTCTCCACCTTTTTCGTCAGCATCAAAAATCGGAATGATTTCGTAGCCTTCTCATGCCGCATCGAGATAATGGAGTCAGTCAATTCGGCGTACCGGGAAATCCGTCTAGTGTCGTCACCTGGCATGGTGTCATCAATGGTAGTTTAAAACCTTGTCTTCGCGTTCACGAAAAAAAAATTGGGTGGCGATCAATCATCACCCAGAAGGCAAGGGTCGAGGAGATAAGACATAGGGTGCACTACACCATACATGGATTGAAAGCGGGAAGCCGCGATCTTCGTCAAATACTGCAGCCTTTGCTGAGCGATGACTGATCGTGCATAGATAGCAGTGATTTGTCCGAAAGGGCATGAAAATCCGGCAGAGCTTTTCGAAATTGGGACACTGTCAGAATGAAATTTGAAGATTAGCGCGTCAATAGGCTTTAGAATGGCAATGGCCTTGTTCAGCTTCACGACGAAGTCATTGCCGGTAACGAGGTCCTTGATCTTCTGTGGCTCAACATTCTGCGCAGCTGTACCGACGAAAACTCTCGAGCGGTAACGATGTGGTGGATCAGGCGCTCTGATGCATACACCGACGCACACATGGCTTGACCGGTCTCCAACCAGTAGGAGCGGGCCGAATGAGAAATCATAAGGATTCAGCCTTCTGCGCCTCCTGCAGGCGTGCCTTCACGACATGATAATGGTGACGCGGAGAACACATCCATTAGAAAAAGATACGGTCCATGAGAACAACAGCCCATGTAGTACCACAATGGGAACGCCTTGTCAAGCTGTTACCAGGTATTCTTATTCGCCTAAGTGTTGTCAGTCACCGCCCCACAGAACGTTGACAGCGCAAAGTAATCGAATGCTCGCGTGAAGTCCAGCGCAGTCCAATTTGCGCTGTGATGTAGTTGATCATATGTTCATTCTTGATGTTCGACCACTCATCCGTTATCCGACATAAGTATGCACCTTTAGTGCGAATGTCAAAGTTTGCCTTCAGCCTGTTGTAGCTCTTGTTCGAAAATTCACAAGAAAATTATTTGCGATTCGGGATATCATTTTCATTATGGCGCAGCACGTAAATAGGTTGAAGATGAACATTCCCAACGCGCTGAAAAGAGGACCCTGTGGCGTAGTAGTGCATGGATACGTGGAGCTGGAACTTCTCCTTCTCCGAAAGCGATAGCGAAGGTAGTAGAAACACCTTGATGGACCGCTAAGTTTGAGATAGCGCAGAGACCAACATGTCCTTAACAACGTTGTGCTGCATGGACCCGTTTTTATAAGGTAAACCAATCCGGGCGCTCCGAAATCTAGATCCTGTTCATAAAGTGATGAAACTCGGAGCACTTGTTTAGATAGTTTGTTGCAAACTCACTATTTTTGTGATAATTGATAATATGTCAGCAGTGTTTGCACACGGCTGCCTTAAGCTTCTGCAGCTGCATAACATCTGTGAAGTATCCACATACCATGCGCTGACTCTGGCCTATCTTCCTGACCGGATCGAGTGCTTCATCAACGACTGGGACCGCCACCTCAACGACCGTACCATCCTCCACTATCGCACCTGGACGAGATAAACACGCGCTACCATCGCTTATTTTGGACATGATATGACTCATATTTACGAGTGCGAGGTCTATTGAAGAGAACTGCGCCACGGACTACGCAAGAGATTAACAAAAAAACTAGATTTTTAAGGATTCTCAATTCATCGTTTTCTACAGAGTCTAAAACAACCCGGTGCAAAAACGGTATTGCCAGCTGTGCGGTAGCATAAGAGTATGTGTCATAGGACGCAGCGTTCTGCAATCAGTCACGGCTTGTGTCAGAAGAGCGAACCAACTTGCAGGTGGTTTGTCCCTCACCCAGATAAAGACTCTGCTTCATACGCGCACGTTGCGGCTGTACTGACGTTTAAAGATGGATGGCCCACTTCAGTTCTATTTGTTCGATACAGCGACAACTGCTCGCTTAGGATAAACACGCCGTCGTAATCGGAAAAAAATGGGCCTTTTGTAAATTAAGGAGGACATCTGTATTAGATTCGTACATACGCGCTGAGACTGAAGTACATTCTTCAGTTAGAATGTTCAGTAACTCGCTAAATGGTCCTGCGTTTCTCTTTTGCACGGGTAACAGTTTGTCTAAATGCTGACCAAACGAAGTTTTAACCGTCCAACTCGCTTGTCGAAGTATTGGTGGCCCCCAAGTGGCATGCCGCTCATGTAACATTATCGGGCCAGTCCCTCGCAAACCTGTGCAGCACGTTAGACGAGGGGCGTTTTTAGCGGACGTACACTAATGATGATATGTATAATGACTGCGGATGAAGTCGCCGTGAAATGCTCCTGGCAAGTCAAGAATCTTCGTGAACCACGATGTACACAAGTTCTCGAACAGAGTGAGCCTCAACTACAGCTTACGTGCCATCTTTACGAACCGTTTGAGATAATCACATCATCATGAAGTTTTGACGCCACTACAGACTTCAACGCTGACTAGCCGCGCCAAATTTACGATGATTAGGCTAACGGGAGCCAACCCGTAGTGTATAGTTCTGTACGCAATGGATTTCTTGCGATAAGTTTGCCAGCTTAAGAGGATCGCCAAACAAAAGGATACCCAACCATGGCAAGTATGACAATTCCCCATTCGGAATGATCAGTAGTAGACAGATCGATTGAGCTATTAGAACGAAATGGAAGCTCCATCATCGAAAGTTGTTTGCAATCTTCACAAGTATTTATCTCAAACAACTCAGCCGGAACCAAGATGCTCATGTCTCGCCATCTTTCGATTTCAGCCTGATGCATTTACTTCTGTCGTTATTTCGCATCAAAGTAAGCAAACCCCCTTCAACGCTGGCACATTCGGCAACCTGTTATACTCATACTCGGCGATTGCTTCGTTGAATTTACATCTATGGCTTTCTCGTGAGCAAATTTAAGTAATAGCTTTGTTCGCTTTCGTCAAATCGTAGTTTATCATTCCTGTGTTGGGGCAGATTTTATGCCACCTTGTCTGCTACATCTTCAAACGGATGACCTTGTGTTTATAAGGCAGCTGGTTTTGCTCGAAGCAATGATCCAGATTGTCATGTCTGGCGACACGGCAATTGATAGTCACCAAAGCTTCCATTTCTCCGTGCTTGCCTTGACCACTTGACAGCACAAGAATTGACATCTGCGCTACATGCAAGCTCCATCGGGCATACGACGCGCTCGATGTGTCATTCTGTCTTTCACAGCAGTTTTTATCGCGCATCTGGCCGCGTGTACCACCTCGTTGTCGTCTCACTTTTACCGTCCTTCTTGTCGCTTCTGAAAGCATCTTACAATACCGCACGTACGACTTCAAGTCCCGCGAGTTGTTCACCCCAGACCAGATAACTGGTATCACCGTCTCACTCCCACGCGACGCACCACGCTATAACCTGTTCAAATGACTACCGGTCATTCACCGGTACCTTCTTCCAAGAATACATCCACCGCCGTTTCGCCTCTCATACTTCTGTATATTCGCATTCTAGCCGCATAAATTACAAGCATGCTCCCCTCCACCACCACTTCGTCGTCTCCAGAGCAAGTCGTCGCATCCCCTCGCGCTTCCGCGACGCTGTCGCTCTCTCCTCCTCTTCTACGCCACGAGAGCGCCCCTTTAGACCCCCATACTGTCTCCACGTCCGCACTCCAAGTTGCTCATGTCCCCTATTCGCTCTACACTGCGTCGCGCGTTGCACTGGCCGAGACGTCGCCCAGCCTCTCTCGCTTCGCTCCGTTCGAAGAAAGTTACGAGTCGATGAACGATCTGCGACGTGCGCTGAAAGTTCTTTCGGTGCAGAAAAAGGCCCCTTACTACATGCAGCATAGCAGTCCCCAGCGGATGGAAGCTCGTTGTCCGTCATGGAGACACCGCAGACGGCACGTGGACAAAACCAGGTGCTCGGGAGACGATACGAAAGCCAGGCCTGCCGTGTGTGACTTTGTCGTGTCGGCCAATCGCCACGCGAATGGGCGCGTGTACGTCACTCGAGCTGTGATTACTCACTCGTCCATGTGTTCAGTGGTCCACGCGGGACTTGCAGCCAACCATATGGAGCCTGAAGCCGGGGCAGAAACAGCGGACACGGGACACACAGCAGCTGTCACGGCGTCGGCGTTGATGGAGACTGCACTGCCGTTTATGGGCCAATTGGCCACGATCAGAGGGAGTCGAGATGCTGTGAAGCCGAAAGATGTGAGTGACATTATGAAGGAAAAATTTGGCGTCAAGCCGTCCTATATGACAGCGTGGAGAGCACTAGGTGCGTTCCGGAAACAACGGAAGGACGAGGACTCGTTGTCATATATGAAGCTGCAGGGATACTTGCAAGCATTTGCCGAGACGAATGTGGGAAGCGTAGTGGCATTTGAACATCAAGAGCATGTGCAAGTCGCGCCGCCAGCTGACTTAGAAAGAAAGCTGTTTGCTCGTGCTTTCTTGTGTCCGAAGCCACTGCATGATGCTTTGAGGTATTGTCGTGGATCGATGCTGCTGAGTGTTTTCTTGGTGACGTGTGCTTTTGGAGGAGTCGTGTTTATGGCGACAGCACAAGATGCCGTGGGGGACAATGTGCCCGTGGCTATTGGTCTTGCCTTGGTTGAGACAGAGACTGAATGGCGCTTTTTTCTCGAACAGCTGCGGCGGGCTTTCCCTGACTTGAAGCGTCATGTCACGTCACTTGTGCACAATCGTGGCGATTTTTTATCACGAGCTATTCATTGTGTGTTCCCCAGCTGCTTACAATCCGACAAAGTCGAGACGTTTATTCGCACCACCGGACCAGGCGTTGATGATGCCTCTATGCCACCTTCTAGCACCTCAATCTCTTCTGAGCTGGGTAGCTCGACATCGGATTTGGATTCTTCCATGAAGTGGATGGAAGCACTATGCAATAAAGTTCCGCTGATGATTCTCGTCAGTTGGGTCTCTCAGGTAGCACGAATGCTTTTTCAGCGCTATGAGCGCTATGGGCACCTGGGCTCAGAGTATCCCACCGACTATCACTCGATTGCGGCAGAGTACGAAAGTCAGTCGTTTCGTTATGATGTGGTGCGCACGTCCGAGAGTGAGTTTGAGATTATCGACCAGCAGACTAGCGCCGGTCGGGTGGTCAACTTTGCGAAGCAGTCGTGCACGTGTGGCGAGTACGATGTTTCTCGCTTTCCGTGCTTGCACGTATTTCTTGCCGTGAATCACGCGGGTATGCGTCAGACGGACGTAATCCCGCGCATTTTTCTCATGACATCGCTCAAGACGCTCTATGCTGGACGTATAACTCCAATCGATATTAGCAATGTGGCTTCCGACGGGGTAACAATTCCGCAGCCGGTGCCTAAGACGCGTGGCCGTCCGCGCAAGGTGCATCAAATTCAGCAAGCTAGTGGTCCGAAGGTAGAGAAACTTTCGTGCAGTCTTTGCGGTATCAAAGGGCACAATAAGCGCACTTGCAAGCGTGCAACCACTATACCTGTTCCGGTCGCTCATGCTGCTGGTGATTGTGAGATGCAGACAAGCAATTCGGTCAATGCTCAAGATGAGACCTTGTTTCTTGAGTCATCATGTACGTAGGGTGCAAGCAGATATCCTTGAGTGGGTGTGGTGTCAGACTGATGTGCGTGTGGTTTGTTTTTACTATCTGGTAGATGGCGATACTGTCACTTTTGACAACAGAGCGCTAGAGGATGATGGATTGCATAGTCATGACAGTGACAGTCGGACTCTCTTTTCAAGCTCAGGCAAGCGCCGACGGCTGACTGGCTGTGACGGAGCAGTGGAAAGGAATGGTGATGGGATTGAGGACGGGGAAACGTCTGGTGTTGCGTTGGTTTAGACGTGCTCTCGAATTTGCTTTTGGTCCGCTTGCCCAGCTCACGCAGATTTCAGTCAACTTGTATGGAACCGCAGTTATACTCTAGCCTACCGACAAGTAAAGTCGCGTGCCGTGAATCCAGTGTCAGACCACTCTTTACTGTTAGCATTGGAGTGATAAGCATGTGAACAGAAGATTATCGAGGCATTCCACCTCAAACAATGTTGGTGTCACTATTGCTGACGAATACAAAGGCGAAGAAGGTATTATGGGTGCCAGTAAACTCGTGGGTCTGCATGAAGACGGGTCTAGAGGCACCCGACATGCACCGTTGTCGAAGGCAGATGGAAAACCGATGTGAGTGCGATAGAAGTTATGTCAATGCTTGAAGAGAGCAATCGTAAGTGCCGTGGTCCGATGTCTTTCGCTTACTTGTCGCTGACCGCAACAAGACCGTCTTTCGGTACTGCCCGCTACGCAAGCGTAAATTTGATACCTACGACAACACAAGCTGACACGTGTCTCAATCAAAGAAACAATGAACCCGTGAACAGGCCACTAATAACAGCGGCATGCAACTCATCTACTGATAGCTGGCAAGGACACAATCGAGATTATTCGCACCTCGACTTCTGTTGCCTTGTTGTGTCAGTCACGTGTCGATGCATTTGAATGACGGAAGAAAAGTCTTTGAATGGCTAACATAATGAGGCAAACCATGCTCAATTCGACGAGAGTCCGTGGTGATCTTCATTATAATGTTCATCCCTCAAAACCCTAGAAGATGGCTTTCGCTGCACTACAACCTACTGAGCACGCGATCAAGACAACGACTCGCCGCAGACTGCACCTTCATCCGAAAGCCGACGACTAAAGTAGTGCGTAATCATAACTTTCTCTACCACGTTTTCGAGTACTTCACAATCTGGTATGTCCAATTGCACATAGTTGAAGTACAATCACTAGAACGTCGAAGAGCTCCGGCCAGGCAGGACGATGTTTTATTCGAGATAATCGAGACCGTCAGCTTTGCAAGCAAATTATCTTCATTGCCAAGCAAGATCATCGTATCATAATGACTCAGTACTATTTGACGGTACATCCACGATTTACACCTTACGATACGAGTGACATGAACAAGTGTTGTCCATCGTCCTGAGCATCAGAAACGCATAGACCAGCGATGCAGACACCAGTGAAGTGCGTTGCATGGAACTGGCCACGCCATCACAGAAAATCTCCGGGAGCCAGCGCGCGATCAAAAGCTGAGCCACGAGAAGAAAGAATGCAAAAGCGGTCGGATTACAATAGGCACTCGTGCTTTTGTGGCACGTTTACAATTGACGACAATAAGCTTAGCGTGAGATTAAAACAAAGTCACGCAACGCACCAGTACATTATCGATAACAAGAGTACAGCAGTACTTGGAGTGTCCTTCGCGTTATTGCGTCATCTTTGCGGTCCTCAGACGGTTGATAGCAGCAGCCAACTGCAGGTAAAGGCATCAGCGCGTTAGTGTCAAAACGAGGCCGTCAGCAGTTCCGATGGTACGTACCTCAAGCTTTCGCGGTCGAGTGTAGAACCCAGACTTTTTGTGAAAACCTACTGCATCAAGTGAACCCGTACGATCAATTTCGCTTTCAAGCATGTCCAACACTTCCTGTGAGTACAGAAGAGGACAGCGTGTCAAACATGAGTTGCATTCACACATACACCAGTGCTTTTCCGGCAAAAGTTCAAACCTCAAGATTACGCTTTCCGTCCATAAAGGAGCGAGCTTTCTGAATAGCGTCAGCAATGGTGCGAACTTGACTGGGTTCCACGATTTGCTCAACGGCGCTCAGGTCCAAATCCACCTTCAGATTACAAGTTGCACGAGAAGGCAATAACGGATCGTGACAGCAACACGCAAGTTATCATACCATAGCCAAGTACACACACGACGCTACGACACCATACCTCGCCATACTGGATCTTGTCCAGGCCGCGCGAAACGACCTTGCCGTTAACCTCGAACCCGCATTTCAGTGGAATGCGATGTGTGACCCGACCAAACTCGATGTCCTGTTGTATCTCACAGTGTTCGCTCGCTATCTTTTTAGCCTCGGCTGTGACGTCCCGCGGTTCGTAAGAGTCCATCATGATCACATGATCGGCGACAGAAAAGTAGTCGCCTGCACCTCCAATGACAAGAACCGATGACACTCCATGTTGTGTGAACAGCGGGCGCACCTTTGAAATGAAAGGCGTAATGGGTTCTTTGTTTTTGGCTACCAATTGTTGCATCTTCCAGTCGCGAATCATAAAGTTGGTCGCACATGTATCCTCGTCAATTAGCAGCGTGGTGGCTCCAACTTCTAGAGCCTCGACTATATTAGCTGCCTGAGAAGTGCTGCCTGAAGCATCAGCCGTGGAAAATCGGGTCGTGTCTTGCTTGAAAGGCAAATTGTCGATAAAAGCACTAATGTCGGTGCACACGACACTACGAGAGTCTTCTGAACGAATCTTCGCTGCGTGTGGATCCATAACAACAAATTCCCGTCCATCCGACGGAACGTGGTTGTACACACCCACTTCCAGCGCCTTCAACACTGTGCTTTTGCCATGAAACCCACCACCAACAAACACAGTGACTCCCTGAGGGATACCCATACCCGTAACAAGTCCACAGTTTGGCAGCGTAAACGACCGTCTCAACGACTCGGGTGACTTGAACAAAACGCATTTGTCACCACTCAGCGGAAGATCGGACGCTCCAGACTGTCGCGGCAGCACGGCTCCGTCAACAACAAACCCGACAAGCCCAGCATCTTTCAGCATCCCTCTCAGCATCTCCTGGTCTTCCACTGACCGCACGTGCTTCCACAAGTGATTCTCATTCTGACGTTGAAACACTAACGACTGCTCGACTAATTGTGGCAAGGTCTCGACCAAAATCGTGTACGCCCAGTCACCACAAATGCTACGCCCACGAGCGGGCAAGTTAATATTGAAACGAGCCTCGACGTCTCCATTTGGCAGCACGTTAACACTAGTGCGTTCAATGACATGTTGACCGGGAGCGTCAATGGCGATATCTCCGCCTTTCGCTCCTTGCCACGAGTTACTGACAGTCTTTGCATCAGCTCCACAATCACGGGCATTGACTGCAAAGACTCGAGTCAAGTAGTCACATAGAGCCACATTGCGGGTCTTGTCACGGTGCATTTCAACTGGAAAAGCAGCCGATACAGTGGAAACCGTCACGTGAGCACGCGACGGACTGGCGTATGGGTCACCTTGAACGTGGTCGAATTCGAGTGTGAAGGAGAGGCCGTTGGAACTGCGGTGAAACTCGAAGAAATAGCGCTCTAACTCGTGGTACGCGCCGTAGTTCCGATTGTGCAGCTCACGGAGCATGTCGCCCAATTGTTGCCACGACGCCGCGGTCAATGGTGGCTGTATACGGTCATTACGATGGTCAATGTGGGATCTTTCATAGCCTTCACCTTCTCGTGGGCCATGTCCGCGTGGACTCCGGCCACGTCCACGTCCACCTCGGCCATATTTGTTGCGATAGAACTCTCCTCGACCCATTATTGCTTGGCTCTTGGTGATCAGCACGAGGTTGTTTGATTTTTATTGTAGTTCGCGAATATGTGAATAGACAGCCAATGAAATGTAGATTTGGGTTTTTTGACGGATTTTCGCGAAAAAGGAGGACACACGGTGGCACGGACATGCTGGATAAAAGACTGGATAATTCTTCGAAATATTACACGCAGAGGGATGTCCAGCTGATCGAAGATCGACGGCATGGTTCCAACCGAACTGTTAAAAACCAACATAAAATAGCGGTATCGATTGCGACTCTATACGATCGGAATGCGCGTGGGATGTATATCGCCTACGACTGAGAGTGCTGCCCGCACAAATAACGCTACAGTCCACTTGTTGATTTGCGGCCGATCGTACTAGCGTCTCTTTGATCGCTTTGGGCACCTGGGATGTGTACCAACGAACAAACGATCCGCTTGTAGCGCGGCTCGTCATACCTTTCGAACCTTTTGTCACGGGTGTGAACCGTATAGGGGACGCAACAATTTCCAGTTCGGCCAAGGACGGGGACAGAACGCCACCATTGTGGACGCCATCTCTTTCCACCTGTCATCTAGACCGTTCACCAAAAGTGTTCTATCAAGCATCCGAGCTCGCCCGCCGTACCGGCAACTACTGCATGTTCTCGAACGTCTCCGACTGCTCAGTCCGTGCCGGCGTTAGGATCGACAAATGGTCTCAGACGGCTAAATTCCAACTTGTCTGGCGCCTCACCTACAAGTGCTGACAGGCGCCGGAGAGAAATCGATCTTGCGACGAGGATACGTACATTGAGGAATACCGTTGTGCGCGCGGCTCGTATGACCTTAGTCTTGACAGCTACCAGAGGATGCTTACTCCGCTTGAAGACAGAAAGCTGCAATTGTGGTTGAACCAGTGCATCAATTTCACGGAGTCTCTCCCTCTTCATAAAAATGATGCGTACCGGCGCGCCGCCGCAAGTTTGGTGGAACTTCTAGCGCAACAAGCTTGGATACCGGCTCTACGCCATTACGCCTACCGGATTTGTACTACCAGCAGTAAAGACCGGCTTCATTCTGTTGGGTATCACTATCTGCCAACTTCGACGAATATTCCGCATCTTGCGTCAAGGAAGATGCTCACAGCACTCAGCAGGTAGTCTTCTATTCACGCTTTCTGATTGCCGAGTTCGCTTTCACACGCCCCGAGATGCGTGACCGCTGGGTGAACAAATCCTTCCAGATAGGACGTGGTAACATGAAGTTTAAGCGTCCGACCTACTCGCTCAGGTAGATGCGCCGAACCACTACGACGCTGCAGGGCGTTGCTCTTTACCAGGCTCATGTAATTGACCCCTTTGACTTATACGCGGTTTTGTGCGAAAGTGGGTCAGCACGGCTGCATATGCTTTCATTCACAAGATAACATCGTGAGACCCTCCTAAAACTGGCTGTGGACCTCGCTTACGGGTCATTACATTTCGACACCGTTGAATGCCCTCTGGCACTTGTGTCGAAGCGGCAGTCGAGAGTGACGGCCAACGACCGAACATCACTAGTTTTCTTCGTTACCCGTGAGCGTCAGACCGACTGCCTTGCACAGTGTGCCTTAGCACAAAGCACCAGCGCAAAGAGTGAATGGTGAAAGACACCCCTACCACAGCAAAAAACTTTTTGCACGGTGACCGAAACAACAGTTCTGAAGCTCGTACCATCGTTTTCACATTCCTGACTTTAACCGACAAACATCCCCAGGCACCTGGCAGCCAAATATCTTGCGCTTCTTGAGGTGACTGAACAGAAGGCGAAGCAGGCTAAAGCAAAAAAAGTTGTGGAAGAAGCTGCTTCTGTTGTAAAGATTTGCATCGCAGTCGGTCAGCGTAAGCTAGTGACGGCTGTAAAAGCAGAGCAAAATCAGTTGCTCATTACGGTGATTCTGGATTATTTAAAGCCTTGATCAAAGGTGCTAGAAAGTCTGCCAAGTACAGTCTCAAGGCGAGGCGCGGCAGCTTCGAACACAGTGCACCGCAGACGAGTATGGCTACAGCTTTTGTACTAGAGAAGATGGACATAGGTTAGTTTTGACATTTGCCATCTTTACTGATTTACAGGTCAAATCGGCGCCTGCTTCGAACGGTCCGGATGTGGAGCCAGCTTGCTCTTCTCTGATTGAACTCTGTGGAGGTCTTGCATCTTTCTGCAGGTCTTCGTGTGACTTGTCGAAGGCGCCAGAACGTGACGATAATCTCCGCGTTGCCAATTCGGTGGACGATGTGGTCACTCCTCCTTCTGGATTAGCGTCTCGTTCTTTGCATGAAGCGTTGCGCGAAGCTTACCGAACCGAATCATCCGACAATGTTGATAACGCAGGGGCTCTGACACCCACGGAGGTAATTGTTGCACTCCAGACCGTCTCGCACAAAAGGGATCAGCTGACGACCGCATAAACCAGCCTCCACGAATTCACCGGCTGGTACAACCAGCCGGTGAATTCCACAAAACGGTACCGACAGCACCGATATCAAGATCTTAACACTCAGCTGATGACACTCACGATCTGGATGATCATTTTAAGTGCTTCTGTGCACCGCGGACTCATAAAACACCTGCTGGTGCTTCACCGGTCGTTCCCACTGTAGATTGTACGTTTGCGAACTGGCAACAGGATCGCGGCATCATTTCCTACCCGGCATTGCAGAATGGACACTGTCTTTACGACGCAATCCGAATTGCGGTGTCTGGTATCACCGAACGCGTTGTTTCGGAGGGATTGGTGTACGACCAGGTTGATTGGTTTAAGAACCATTTACTCATTCTTCTGGGTGGCCGTCTTGTGCGAGAAGTATCACTATTTCAAATTGACCGCTGTCAAGTGTTAGGCCGATTGGCCAGTACGCTGGCACCGACAGATATGATGATACCTGACTGCAACGCGAGATTATGCATCGTACTGCAGCACGTTTTATCGTACCTTTGGAGCCTCTGACTCTGCGCATTAAAGCGGAACGGACATAATCAGGATGGATTCTCTCGTTTTTTGGCACGGCAATAATGTGTTTGATGTGCAGCAGTCCGACACAGACCGAATCATCCGAATCTCACCAGGCGATTGCTCTCTTAAACATGAGGACCTTGCGCGGTCTGTAACATTACACTGCGAGATAATGGACGCGACAGTGCCAATTATGTACCATTTAATAATGGCTGGAGAAGCAATTTTTCTTGGACGTCGTGATGTAGGCAGGTGCACCGTATCGCTAACTGTGCTGAACAAATGCAGGCATCGCCACCTATCAACAAGCTCTGGACCGTGGCAGTGATCGTTTCAAACTCAATATTTTTAGCATGTGTCGACTCGGAAATCATGCCATCTCTGGATTTCTCCCAACTTTTTTGTGCTGTCGTCAGCGCTGTAGCTAACCAGGGTGTGATGTATGCTGATGAGGCTGGAAACGTTCCGGAGCAGCTGCGCCATAATCTGAACGGTGCCTACCGTTGGGCCTATACAGCCGAACATGTAAACTTCTCCTCACACACAGGCTCCTGCAGCATTAGTTATGAAGATTCCGTTTCCAATGATATGCGTCGCTTGCTCTAGAAAAAAGCTTTTGGAGTTGGGGAATTGTATCAAATCCGACGCCTAGCATGCACAGATACGACACCAAACTCAGTCAGGCGCGATATCGTTGGCAGCATGGAAGATGTGCAAACCTCTGACACAGCTGTATGGAACCTTCCCCCAGGTGGATGTTGACAGATGTTTTACGTAAATGCATGCGACTTTTCACTACCGACGCAAATCTATTGAAGTAAATTTTTCAAGCGAGCTCGTCCAACCCGAGGAATGGGATGTTGTTAGCACTCTTGGATTATTCCTGCCAAAATCACTACCGTATCACTCTATCGCCCAACTTCAGATGCCTGAGGATCAATCGACTCTCTATCAGTCATCCGCCTTAGTCCGTGACTCAGTCCAAACTATTCCTAGAGTCTTAAAGCTGGTCGTTAGCCAGCGCTGTCGGAAAGTTGAAACGTAGTGTCACCTCTTCGGCGCTAAGGTCACCGAGACCACAGAAAACGTCCGCCGATAACACCAGGATCTCTAGCAGCGGTTGCTACAAGATGCTATCAAACCTTCTCACTCGGTGTCGGCTGCGACAATGACTGCTCGGACCGCTGCGGAAGGCTTCAGCACTGTAGACGTCTCCCGTCGTCGAGAACATCGTCGCTGTAGAAAGCCTAACGTCACTCTTCGGGGATGGACAAAAATTGCTGTTCACACTCAGAACGTTGCGGGGTTTCCAAAAGACGCCACGAGTTGATGGATCGTCCTGCGAGCTTTCGCTAGCCTTCAGATGGTTGCTCGCGGGGTTCAATTTACTTCCTATAAGAGACCCGTGTTGTGCATGGAAAGAACATGCGCTTCAAAAGCAGTTTGAATCGTTCTGGGAGTTTTACACGCCCGCCAATCTTCCTCTTTCCTTCTGGACGAAATCAGAATTCCGAACTGCCGGCGTCGCCGTATTGCTTGATCCACACTCATCCGGGACATCTTAAAAAGTATGGAAACGAAAAGTATAGAACATTCACTGGATGGCAGTCACCGTGACTCGTGCGTCTACGACTTGTTTGGTCGTCATTGTTTACGCTCCCACACTTCGCGCTGCCAAAGGAACGTTCTTTACATCGCTCAAGGTTTTCGCAGTTGACTCTCACGGCATAGTGATTCTCGTTGGGGATTTTGACTGTACGCGTGACGAGGACACGTACTGGTCATTCTCGCGTTAGCACAACAACCCTGACTCTGCCGCACTGCAGCGATTGCGTAATGGGTGAGCGATGCTGGACGGTATTGTTGAAGACACTACCAAAGCTCGTGGTTATAACAATGAGCCTGCATGTCATTGTCACACGTACTTCTGCACTTCGTCAAGCGGTATTTCGGCAAGCAGTATATTGGATCGGTTCACGCCACATAAACCTACGCGGCATAGATTCGTGATCTTTATTCCAGTGTCT